TGAGGAGTAAATGAAATGAATACTGGCTTAAAGGACTTTTAACTGACTTCTTCATTCAGTTGTTGTTTTTGATATTCTCACTGTTTTAATATAGAACTGCGTAGTGTTTTACGAGTTTTCTTTCCGTCAGTCATTATTTATTGCTATTACTCACTGAGTTGGAGTACTCACTTTACTCCCTTCACCATGTGTGCAGATACAGGTATCCCGGAGGCATAGTTTGAGCTTTTTGCTGCTGTTCAGCTTATTTCGGAGTCATCGAGGTAGCTGCATGGCATCTGCAGGACCCGATTCCTCCTCTTATCCTCTTTATTTTTCGCATTCTAGACAACTCTATGTATAGGTTGCTACACAGACTTGTATTAGAGGCTCTTGGCTCGTGACACCAGATCGGTGGGATTTATATTGATATTCTATGGATTTTCTGCTCTGTTTATCTATTACTACAGAGTTATAATCATGTTAACTTAGCATTAAATCACATTAATTGGTAATGAATTCGACATAAGGGATTGTGAGTGATGAATTGGTCGGGCTTGCCTAGCATCGTGTTGGGCGCCATCGCGACCGGGGATTGGGGTCGTGACAAATACTAATACTAATATTAATACTAATGATAGTAGTAGTAACAACTGTAAAAAAAAGAATTGTAGCAAAAATAGGGTATTCAATTTATTATTAACTTAGAAGCTCAAGAAAATTAATTAGAAGAAAGGAGGGATAAAATTGTATGTCAACAACTGCCCCTCTTTGACTGGAGACGATGAAAGCGTTTTCGGGCAAAGAATATTGACTTATTAGCCAATTTTGTCCCAATCATCAAGAGTGGAATGAGACAAAAGGGATGTAAAAAAATGATTGCTGCCGAACTCCGATTTTGAGTTGCCTACATATCTCGGGTTTCACGAGAATCAGACCATATGTAGTTGAAGACTTATGGTACCCTGGAGTAGGACTCAACTATTAATGCAAATCTTAAAATACTGCCCCCGAGTCGAATAATAGAGACACTTGGTGTCATGATTGAAATAAAGATGTTTGAAATGAAGATTGGATTAGGAATTTGAAGAGTCAAGCCGAGCAGAGTTCGAAGTAGATCCTTGACCTTTATTGGAGAGTTTGGTATTCCTCCCCAACAAATTGTCTAAGTTCACTGCTAAGATATAGTTCCACGTTGCACTATATTTCCTGCAAAGCTTAACAATGCTAAAAACAATTGTTAGGAAATAAGATGCAATATGCCATAAAAGTAATTTTATGAAAATAATATTTAGGCATTAATTGCGAATTTATTGGGCAAACATATAAAAATAGAATTTTATGGTGATATATTTCATGGTCGGCAATGGCACATGAAAATTTAGATTAAAAAAAAGTGTTTGGCAATGATTTATGAAAGCTATGCTTTGGCAATGCTTATGCAAGTGGGACCACTCAGGTCGAAATAAATTAATGTCCTTTTGAGGAAAGATTAACTTCAATATCCTATTTGAGGGCGGATGGACCCGATATATCCTATTTGAGGGCGGATGGACCCGATAAATCCTATTTGAGGGTGGATTAACCCGATAAATCCTATTTGAGGACGGATGAACCCGATATATCCTATTTGAGGGCGGATGGACCCGATAAATCCTATTTGAGGGTGGATGGACACGATAAATCCTATTTGAGGGCGGATGAACCCGATATATCCTATTTGAGGGCGGATGGACCCGATATATCCTATTTGAGGGTGGATGGACTCGATATATCCTATTTGACGGCAGATAGACCCAATATATCTTATTCGAGGGTGGATAGACCCGATATATCTTATTCGAGGGAGGATAGACCCAATATGTGGTGCTTGATTTGCAATTACAAAGACTGATGCAGTGCGAAGGGCTTGATATGGTGCCTATTTTGTAGTGGTAATTCATGGTGCGATGCAAAAATCCTGGTGCAATGACTTTGTTGTAGCAAATATCCATGGTGCGGAGAGCTTGATGCGGTGCCTTTACAGAAGAAAATATTCAAAGAGCGGTGCCAATAATTTGAGAATTTGCATGTTGAAGTTTATTATTAGTAAATTCCTGCACTCAAAGAAAACTATGAGTTTTAAAATATAATTTGCGATAACTCGGTTTGATCGCTATGTTGCACTATATTTCCTGCAAGGCAAGTTCATCAGTAGAGTAGATATTGAAATGCAATGTGCTGTAAAGTAATCTTATGAAAATGACACATTTTGGGCGTTTACTTATACAATGCGGCCTAGTCGGCCAAAATGATTTGATAAAAATATAGCTTTATGCCAATGATGATTTTCAACAATAACATGCAGTTTATAAATGTGCTTTGGCAATGATTTATGATAATGATGCATTTCAGTAATGACACTAAAACATGACCATCTAGGTCGAAATAAATTAATGAAAAGCATGTGAATACGTGCAAAAGTGTCCTGTTGTTCAAGCGGACAACCTTAATAACCTATTATCAGGTGAACAACCTTGTGTCCTATTATCAGACGGACTACCTTATGTCCTATTAATCAGGCGGACTACCTCGTCTCCTATTATCAGGCGGGCCACCTTATGTCCTATTAATCAGGCGGACTACCTTATGTCCTATTAATCAGGTGGACAACCTCGTGTCCTATTATTAGGCGGACGACCTCATGTCCTGTTAATCAGGTGGACGACCATTTTGTCTTATTATTAGGTGGATGAACCTAGATGCATGGTGCTTGATTTGAAATTTCAAACATTGGTGCGGTGCAGAAGTTTGGTGCGATGCTTGATTTGTAGTTGTATAATGCGGTGCGAAGAGCTTGGCTTGGTTACTTCGAAGTAACATATATTGATGGTGCAATGCTGAGAGCTTGGTGCAATGATTTTGTAATAGCAAATGGTGCGATGCAGAGAGCTTGATGAAATGCCTTTGCAGTAGTGAATATTCCTGGTGCAATGCGAACAATCGTTGGATCTTCATAGTGAAGTTTTGCTATTAATAAATTCATGCATTCAAAGAAAAATTATGAGTTGCAAAGGTAAAGAGAAGGAAAATGCCTCAGTTGCCATGACTATGCATCAACCACAATGCCATCATGATCACCAGCTCTTGCAAAATCATGCCATCTCTAATGCCCGCAACATGCATCTCCAGCCTCCTCGTCAACAAAGCATTCACCATCAACATCATCAAGCATAAGTCGCGTCTCACAAATCTAAGAAAAGGAAGCTCCGCGACTTCACACCTCTGAGTGAACCAATCTCTAGCATATTTGCTTAATTGAATGCCTTAGGAATTATGCAACCAAAAAAATGAAGGATTTTTGACCCTTCACATCCATTATTCGACCCGTCAAAGTATTGTACTTATCATTCAAACGCTCAAGGTCATGATACAGATGAATGCCTAGCATTAAAACATAAGATTTAGAATTTAATTGATGCTAAGAAACTGCAAGTGCACCTACCAGTTGGAACAAATATCTCAAATGCAATTAGCCGCAACACAAGCAATATACCGAGCGTGGTTGGGTGTCCGAAGAAAAAATATCGTTTGGACTAGTTCACCTTTGCATTGCTGGCATTATCATTTTGCAACTATCATTATAGGAGTAGCTATTTTTGTAATCATGCTTTGCTTTTGTAAGAACTACGTGTTAACCTGATTTCCGTTTAAGAGGGGATACGTAGGCAATCCTATGGGTTCGGTCTCATCATAATAAGATTCTATTTACCCCAAAAGCCAAAACCGGGGCAGATTTTGCAGAAGGATCTTCATCATTCAGCAAAGCAAAAAATGAAATTCCGAGCTACATATTTGTTACAAGCATAACAGCAAATTCCATAATACCATGGCAACAAGTTGCAGATTCAAAGACAAACTTTGACGTTCAATGCAAGGCAACCACTTTCTTTTATACTAATGAATTTTCTTTGAGTAATGCAGGGGCATTTTTAGATATTCTTGAACATTACATGCTATTGCAAAGCTCATCAGCAAGTTAGAAGTCGCAAGATTCATGCAAAGCAAAGGATGAAGCCAAGCGAGCGCAAATAAAACTTTGCAACTTATAATTTTTCTTTGAATGCAGGATAGCGGGGGGTGTACCTTTGAAGCTTCAACTCTCCACCGGATTGCATAATCCTGAAAAGATTCATGTGGTATTTTTATTTTGTACAGGCTATGCATGTCTGGATCAGCTCCAAGGTTGAACTCATATTGCTTTACAAAATTGTGAGCCATATCATCCCACGTGCTCCATTTGCTAAAATCTTGTTTTGTGTACCAAACAAGTGCATGTCCTGATAAGCTTTGAATAAACAAGTGCAGGTCCCAAATGGACTCGTTGTGTCCTATGCCAATTAACCTGCTACAATAGTCTTTCAAATGAGCAATGGGATTTCCCTTCCCGTTGAAAGTATTAAACTTTGGCATCTGGTACCCTAGTGGGAGTTCTACATCTGGTTGCAGGCATAAGTCTTCATATCGTAGACTTTGGTAATTTCTTGATTGCAATTCTTATCCAATGGATTTCTTTAAATCCGAAGTTCTTTATCCAAATCTTTACGATAAATTTGTTGGATTTCTTTTCCACATCTCTTATGAGGGCATACTGCTAGTTCGTTTTGCTTGCTTTCTTCAAATGGAGTTGTGGTTATGGGAGGCATTATCATGACTTGATTAGGGTTGCAGGTTGATGGAACTTCTGTAGAGATTGCATAAGTAGGAGCTGGGCAAGGGGATATGGTTAAGCAAATATTTTGGTTTGAGTTAGAAGCTGAGGTTGCATTCGGAAGAAGGTTGAAAGTTCTTCCCAGATTAACCAGCAATTTTTTTCGTACCCCATTTGCCTCGGTATCTTCACCTTTTGCTTGCAAAAATCTCATACCTGTACTGAATGCTTCAAATCTGTATGCCATATAGCTTCGTCCTTTATGCAGATTCACAGCCAAAATAGTATTCAATGCTAGGCAACCTTTAAAGGCAAAAATAAAACTTTTATACAAAAGCAAAGTGTTAGCATATTCATCACAATGAAATAAATGCACAAAATAATAAAGTATATAACTAGATAGGTTAATTCATAATATGGTTAAGTAGAAGCCCTAAACTGGAAACGATGGCTTAAGTTGTAAAATGGATGGACGAGAATGACTTGTTATCTAGAGGTCTCTAACACTAGAGACTTGAAGGAAAGGAAGTAAAATGAATTTGAGTAGAATGTGCAGTTTGTGAGAGGTTGACTCACGTTGAGACATCAAAGTTTATCCTTAAAATAGGTTCTTGCCCTTGCATGGCTCTGAAATTTAAAAAAAATTGCCCCAATCTTTGTGAAGTTTCTGATGACTACTCCATTGCATGATTTCCATTTCGAGCATACTCATCCTGCGTGCTAAACATCTGCCCCAGTTTCTTTGCTATAATGAAACTGAGCCTTATGTAGGCTGTGCTTCAAAGAGGCCATAGGCGAATAATTTTGACGTTGTAAAATAATTTTTGGCTGTTTGAATATCGACAGGCTCAGAATCAAGATACTTAATTAGGATATAAGAGTCAATTGGACATGAAATGACTCTATTATTATTTTTTAGTGTTGGCAAATCATAAAGTCGAGGCCCGGAATACGGTATCAACCGTTTTGAGACTTATGGGATAGTACCTCAACTCACATGCCAAGACTTAGAATTAACGGGTGCGTGAAGATTAGGATCGACGACCCGAAATAAAACGATACAGACACTTGAATTGAATAGGTAAAAATTTTAGAATAATTTGACGATGCAAATTGACCAAAATAGTGCCCTTCTATTGCTCGGTAGATTGCGCAAGTTTGAACATCTACCAATTTGAAAATGAGAATTGGCATGAAGGTTGAAATAGTTAGAATAGTAAGTAGATTTTATGAAACATAGAGCTACGAGAAGAATCGAAGGTACGAATATTCGGTGAGGCACGAGTTGCAATATTTGAAAAATATGTAACTATATTTTAAGAAAAGAATGCAAGTAAAATTAACTCACGGATTAGATGGGAAAAATATTTTCTAATTATGAAATATTACGACAGTTTTTTTTTTTAAATTTAAAGAAGTAGGAATGATATCTTGCTATAGGGAGTGAGATGCTCATTGTTGTTTAAAAAAGTCTTAATGCTAGTTTATGGAATGGATTCGAGAAATTTATGACGAACCTGGCCTATTGAGGAGTTTATGGGAAAGACGTCGTACTTTATAAAAATAGAAGATACCGAGAGACTAAATATATCTTAATTAGACTCTAAGAATTGGAGTAGACCTAAAAAAAATTTGAGCCTAAGTAAATACAAAAATGGTCCTCTAAAGTTGTTATGCGCGGAATGATTGATGATTATTATTATTAATTCAAGGAAATGATATAAAAATAAGCAAAAGAAAAAAATATATGCACAAATGAAAGTATATATTTAAATAAAGATATAAGCAAGTTGGATAGTTAATACTTCAAAAAACAACAGATAATGTTAGTGAAAATAATAAAGTCGAGTAAGTAACATAGCAAGTAAACAAGCAAAGCAGGTGACAAATTCAAAAGCATAACAAATAATAGTGTGTTCTAATATGCAGGGGACCTCTGTGTGCTAGAGGTAGGCCTAACGTGTATTTGAAAGATAAATATGCCATTATATATCATCCCATTGTTGTAAATTAATTAAATAATTCTATTTTTTGAAAAGCAAATAAAATGGTAAAATATAACTGCTTAAACCTCTTCTTTGTGGTCCAAAGAAAGTATATTTTCATCAAAGGAAAGTATACTAAAATATATTTTCTCATGTTTAAACTTCTCGTTAATTGTGTAATTCAAAAGATTTCATAAATACCATAAAAACGTTGATCATGCTCATTTACCTAGGATTTAATAAATTTAGAGCAAACGATCCACATAATTGGCATATTCACCTTTCAAATGATGCACATATACGTGATAAGGTGTCACTTGGGGTTCAAAACCCACTCGGACATTTAGGTAAGGTTAATTAATGGATTTAATACACCTCGGGTATTAAATGACCTAAGGTTAAAATGATGCATGCTCGTAAAAGGGTTTTAGTTTGGCTCTATCTTAGGCTGACTAAGAATGAGTTTTGCTAGACTGGTCATCTCCCAAGCGGACAACTTGAGAGTGGAAAGCCCGTGACTGTCGACTGCACCGCTGATCGATTTACCCACGAACTTTCCCCTAAAAGGTATTTTTTTAAAAAGTGCACGACCACAGACTACGTAACCGCTAGGTGTGTGCTTTGTGTGAATTTTCCAGAAGTGGAGGAAGTAAAACGAAATAACAAATTATATAAATTAATAAGAATATATGATCAAGTGGTAATCAGACCTGTTTCTATGCCCTCCCAGCCAAACCAGATGCTATTTCTTCAGATGCTGTGATTACAAGTATTGTCTCAGTCTGCCACAGAGATGCTTCTGTATTATTTGATCCTGGTTCCACTTTTTCATATGTGTTATCATATTTTTCTCATTATTTGGATATGCCCCGTGAGTCTCTTGTTTCATCTGTACGTGTATCTACTCCGGTGGGTGATACTATTATTATGTACCGCGTGTATCGTTCTTGTGTGGTGACTATTTGGGGTTTGGATACCCGACTGGATCTTCTGTTGCTTTGTATGGTCAATTTTGATGTGATATTGGGCATGGATTGGTTATCTCTGTATCATGCTATTTTGGACTGTCATGCTAAGACAGTGACGTTGGCTATGCCGGGTGTGCCACGGATCGAGTAGCGAGGTTTGACTAATTTTGTCCCTAGTAGGGTGATTTCATTTCTGAAGGCCCAGCGGATGGTTGGGAAAGGTTGTCTTTCATACTTAGCTTTCGTGAGGGATGTTAGTGTAGAGACTACTACAATTAATTCAATCCCGGTAGTGAGGGACTTTCCGGATGTATTTCCTGCGGACCTGTCGAGCATGCCCCCGGACAGGGATATTGACTTTGGTAGTGACTTGATACCGGGCACTCAGCCTATTTCTATTCCACCATATCGTATGGCATCGGCGGAGTTGAAGGAGCAGCTTCAGGAACTCCTTGATCAGCGGTTTATTCGGCCTAGTGTGTCGCAGTGTGGTATGCCTCTTCTATTTGTGAAGAAGAAGGATGACACTATGAGGATGTGCATTGATTACAGGCAGTTGAACAATGTCACAATCAAGAACAAGTATCGTTTGCCTCGTATTGATGATTTATTTGACCAACTTTAGGGAGCGAGGGTGTTATCCAAGATTGATCTCTGTTCAGGGTATCACCAGTTGAAGATCAGGGACTTGAATATTCTTAAGAAAACTTTCAGGACCTAGTATGGTCATTATGAGCTCCTTGTGATGTCTTTTGGGCTGACCAATGCCTAGCAGCATTCATGCATTTGATGAACATCACGTTTCGGCCTTATCTCGACTCGTTTGTTATTGTATTCATTGATGGTATTCTGGTATACTCGTGCAGTCAGGAGGAGCACGCGAAGCATTTGAGAGTTATGTTGCAGTAGTTGAGGGAGGAGAAACTTATGCAAAGTTCTCCAAGTGTGAGTTTTGGCTTAGTTTAGTGGCTTTATTGGGGCACGTGGTGTCCAGTAAGGGTAGTCAGGTTGATCTGACGAAGATAGAGGCGGTTCAGAGTTGGTCCAAACCGTGCTCAGCCACAGAGATTTGCAGCTTTCTTGGTTTGGTGGTCTATTGTCGTCGGTTCGTTCAGGGATTTTCATATATAGCATCACCGTTGACCAAATTATCTCAAAAGGGTGCTCCTTTCAGGTGGTCGAATGAGTGTGAGGCGAGCTTTCAGAAGCTCAAGACTGCCTGGACCACAACTCTAGTGTTAGTGTTGCCGTCAGCTTCAAGTTCATATACAGTTTATTGTGATGCTTTTAGAGTTGGTATCGGGTGTGTGTTGATGCAGGAGGGTAGAGTGATTGCTTATGCTTCTCGTCAGTTGAAGCCCCACGAGAAGAACTACCCCGTTCATGATTTGGAGTTGGATGTCATTGTTCACACATTGAAGATTTGGAGACATTAACTCTATGGTGTGTCTTGTGAGGTGTTTACTGATCATCGTAGCCTCCAGCACTTGTTCAAGTAGAAGGATCTCAATTTGAGGCAGCGAAGATGGTTGGAACTGCTAAAGGACTATGATATTACCATCTTGTATCACCCGGGGAAGGACAATGTGGTGGCCGATGCTTTGAGTAGGAAGGCAATGAGTATGGGCAGTTTGGCATATATTCCTGTTGGGGAGCGGCCTATTGCAGTTGATGTTCAGGCATTGGCCTATCAGTTTGTGAGGTTGGATATTTTGGAGCCCAGTCGGGTCTTAGCTTGTGTGGTTTCTCGGTCTTCCTTGTTTGATCGCATCAGAGAGGGCCAGTATGATGATCCTCATTTGCTTGTCCTCAAGGACAGATTTCAGCACGGGGATGCCAGAGATGTAACTATTGGTGATGATAGAGTATTGAGGATGCAGGGTCAGATATGTGTGCCCAATGTGGATGAGCTTCGGGAGTTGATTATAGAGGAGGCTCATAGCTCGCGGGATTCCATCCATCCGGGTGCCACGAAGATGTTTCAGGATTTGAGACAACATTATTGGTGGAGAAGAATGAAGAAGGATATTGTGGGATTTTTAGCTCGGTGTCTCAATTGTGAGCAGGTGAAATATGAGTGTTAATACCCAATTTTTTCTCATATATTTTTAAATACTTTCAAAATATATTACATGCATATACAAATATGCACAAGTATTTTTATATTTTTTCTATAATTTTTAAAGGGCTTTAAATCAATTTATTGTTGTATTTTTAATTATATAAATATTCAATAATTATTCCTCATATTACTTTACGATGATTTAATCATCTAAATTCATCATTTATGCTCATGTAAGTGTTCAAATTGCATTTTTACAATTACATTTGCATTTTTAAGACTATAATTGCATATTTTGCAAAAATAGC